AAGGCTAAGGGCAGAACCATCTACAGGTCCTTGAAACTGTCACGTCCCTTTTTCCATGTTTTCGCAGGGAAGGGGAAGTTCTATGACTTTGGAGGTACAGATCTGGTTCAGTCAGCAGCTTCCTTTGGGTCACAGTACCATTTATTCCACAAACTATGTGAACCCTTAACATTTCCTGAAGTGCTGACTCATACTCCGTGTTCGCCAATTTCCACAGTCTTGTCAAGAATTCAGTAAGTGGTTCCCCAGAAAGTCTATTTGCTGTGTTAAACATATAATGTTGCAATGCAATGAATGGTTTGGTGTCAGTGGTTTGCTATCATATCCAGTTTGTCAAAGGATTCTGACTGAGGTTGCTGGGTAGGTTATGCTCTATGATGCTGAAAGTCAGGGCCCCTCAAGTGATGAGCAGACTGACTTTTCATTGGTGATCCCCTTATATCTGTTTGCTTGAAAAGAGTAGCTCATTCTTACGGCATACTGCGATGAATCCTCCACACCTGCATAAGGTTCCAGTTTCCCAGACAGTCAAATCTCCAATATTTCCCTGTCACGATCTTACCAGGTTCATTGAAAGGCAAGGTTGTCTTTTCTTGACTCTCATTAGCAATGTATTAACTTGAGGTTTGACAGGAAAAGGAACATCAAATTACTGCAGATTCTAGAATCTGTACTGAAACAACGAACGTTGGAGATCATCACAGCTCAAACAGCATCCACGGACAGCGAACAAGCTAACGTGTCAAGTCTAGAGGACTTTTCATCTGTGGGGATGAAGAGTCATCTAGACTCAAAGTTTTAGCTTGCTCTCTCTCCGTGGATGCTGTCTGACCCGCTGTGATCTCCAGCATTTGTTGTTTTCAGTCATCATTTATTATTGAGTAACTATATGCGACTGCATAAGCTAGTCCCAGCCCATTCCTGGGTCTGCTTTATAAAGGGCTCAGGTGATGAGTTCTAGGTGAGCAGGCCATTACCTGTTACCAAGGGAACTCACACACAACAAACTCCATGAGGAGATTAGTGATTTCCCATACATCTTAGAAGGGGTTATCACACCCTCATTAAAGAATGCTGTTACTCTGCATGATGTAAGCAAAGTTAAAAGCCCTCCAAGTAATCCTACACCAAAAAAAAAATCACATTTTCCATGCCCAGAACAAACCCATTTATAAGTATAGCAAAGCACTGCAGATGCTGGAGAACAGAAATACAAAGTATCAGAGAGAATTTGCAAGTGTTGCATTATCTGTGGAGAGAGAAATAGTTAAACGAGTCAGGTCACCTGCAAGTTCCCCTCCGTGCCGCTCACCAACTTGTCTTTGATATATTGCCATTCCTTCAGTGTCACAAGGGTAAAATCATGGAATTCTCGAAAAGCATTGTGGATCTACCTACGGCACATGGACTGCAGCAGTTCAAGAAGGCATCTCACAACCACTTTCTCAAAAGGTGACCAGGGACAGACAAATGCTGACTCAGCCAGCAACTCCATGTCCTATAAGTGAATAAAACTCAAAGGATTGGAATATTGTGGTTTTCACACTGATGGCAAAAGTGGGATGAGGAGCTAATCTAATAGACGATGAAGGTTCCCAGAGCATAAATGCCAAAGGCAGTGTTAATAGTGGTAAGGAGGCATATGTATGTGGAATAGGTGTTAATAGTTGATGTCAATAGCAGAAAATAGGTCTGCTCTGTTAAGACCAAACCCTTGCAAACAAGACAGAGGTGGGGGTGGAAGAGATGTGATGAAAATGGAGCAGAGTTCATGAGTTGAAGTAGTTGAACTCACTGTTCAGTACTTGAAGCTGAAAAGTGCTGAGCAAAGAAAATGATGTGCTGCTCCTCTAGCTTGTGTTAGGCTTTGCTGAGCCACAAGAAAAACCCAGACCTTGCCATTTTAACACAGCAGCTTGCTAACATTTCTGTCTTAAGCCTACTGCAGTATTCCAGTAAGCACAACATAAGCTGGAGAGATGGTCAATCATTTCTCACTTAGGCCTTTAACAGCCTTGAGGACTTAACATGGAGTTCAACAGCTTCAGACAATAAACACTATCCTCCATTTTCATGACATCCCCTTTCCCCACAGGAAACAAAACAATGTTTTTTTTGCACGCATTTGTTCTCAGTAGAGCTAACCTATTTTCAGCTATTAGCACCTACCTATTCGCCAACTATACATCTCCTGGGACAACACTTGGTCTGGAAAGCTTCACCATCTGTTCCACTTGCTCCTTCTCACCAATCTGCGAACAGCATAAAACCATCTTTTTGTTCCAGCTCTCTTAAGATAGTCGTACTGACTTCTAAACAGTAACTGTTTCCCTCTCCACAGCAGCCAGGCCTGATGAGTTTCTCCAGCACTTTAATTCCCAATTTACTTAGATAAAACAAAGTTGAAGGTGGGCCTGAAATAAAAACAAGTTGCCCAAATGTTAAACCTCACCTACTCAGGCCATGTGGGCATTGTTAGCTGGGCCAGCATTTATAATCTCAGCCACCTTCTCAATGGCAACTGCCTTCTTGAAGCACTGCAGTCCATACGCTGTAGGGACATCAACGAAGCCATGAGGGAGTACCAGGATTTCAACCAATGAAACTGAAGAAATGTTAATATATTTCCAAATCTGACTGGTGAGTGGCTTGGAGAGGATCTTGCACACAGGGGTGTTTCCATGTATTTGCCACCCTCGCCCTTCTAGAGATAATGGTCATGGATTTGGCTGCTGAAGGAGCCTTGGTGAATTCCTACAGTGAGTCTTGTAGATAGTACACACTACTGCTACTGAATGTCAGTGTTGGACAGCATAAATGCTTGTGAATCAGAGATATGTGTAGACAAATCAAAATTTGAGGAAACACAGCCTACAGCAGCTCCGTTCCAACTGTATACCACTGTACCACCACCTGTCCTGTCCTGTATCCGACCTGCTGGTGGATCAGGAAATATCCAGGACTGGTGATAGTGGTGCTTGGGACACAGTCATAATCTCAGAATCCTGCCTTGCAGACGATGTCAGACTGTCACTTGACTAGTCTGTGAGACAGCTCTCCTAATCTTGGCATTAGTCCCTTACGTTAACAATGAGAACTTTGTAGGGTTTGTTGGGCAGGACAGTAGCTCAGTGGTTAGCACTTCTGCCTCAGTGACAGGAACTTGGGTTCAATTCCAGGCTTGGGACCTTTGTGTGGAGTTTGCACATTCTCCCGGCGTCTGCTTGGGTTTCCTTCAGGTGCTCAGATTTCCTCCCACAGTCCAAAGATGTGCAGGTTAGTTGGATTGGCCATGCTAAATCACCCATATTGTCCAGAGATAAGCAGGCTAGATGTGTTAGCCATGGAAAATGCAGGGTTACAGATCTGGGTGGGATGCTCTTTGGAGGGTCAGTATGGACTTGATGGGCCGAATGACCTGGTTCCGCACTGTAGGAATTCTATGGTTGACAGGGCTGCATTTGCCATTGTCATTCCCAGTGCCTTAGTTAATACCTGTCTGGTTTCATTTCTTTCTTCCTTACTGGTGGCTTAATACAACTGAGTAACTTGCAGTATCAAAGGGCAGTTGGCAATTGACCACATTGTTGTGGGTATGGAGTCACGCGTAAGCCAGACCACGATGGCAGTTTCCTTCCTTAAAAGGACACTTTTAGGACAACCATCAATGATTTCACAAATCCAGATGATTTTTTAAATATTCAATTTCCACCATCTGCTGTGGTGGGATTCAAAACTAGGTCCCCTAGGTCTCTGGATTTCTAGAACAGTGACAATACCACTTAGCCTTTGCCCCACCATCTGGTTCCTTTAGTTTTAGGAGTCAGGATCCAATGCTCATTTCATAGAAATAGTCTATATCAGGATGCTAACAGAGAGGAGAACAAGACATTGAGGAAAAGTGTGGACCTGCCACATGCGTTCCCAAAAGCAGTAAACAGTGATATTACAAGTGAATGAGGCATTTTTTTTTAAATTCAAAGCTAGGAATTGACAAATTTCAATCATCATACCAGTAAATGAATAACTAAGATTAAATGGAGCAGATCTAGAGACAAAAAAGTTAAAGGCTTAAAGAAGGTACTCAACAGATTATAAGACGGAAAAAAAGGATGATCTTTTATATCGAGGGCAGCTGATACCCATTGGTTGAAATTCCTGAGTCATGCAGGAACTGCAGGATATTTCAGGTGTCTCAGCACATTCACATGTTGGAAAACAGAAAACATTGCTTTAGACAACACATCCAATTTCATTCCCCGACAACCAATTCTGACCCTCTACCTATCAACAGTCTGGAATTAACTAAGTGTGTTCACAATCTTGAAGGCACTTCCATGAGCTTCTGGCTTCATATTCCTGCCATCAAAACCATTTGCCTCCACCTCTGTAACATCAGCTAATTTTATCACTTCTGAAGAAGGGTCCTCTTCTCTCTCTCCACCAATGCTGTAACACCTGCAGTTTCTTCAGCAATTTGTTTTTGTTTAATCACTTTCTCAGCTTATCTGCTTCCAAAACCCTCTTATTATTTCTCCTCTAGACTTGACCATTCTAACATATTCTTGACTGGTCTCCCACATTCCATCCTCCCCCCATAAAGAGGAGGGCATCTAACACTCTGCTACCTGTTTTAATCTTCAAAGTCCCATTCATCTATCAGCCCTGTGCTCACTGATTTGACTTTAAATTTGAAATTCTCATTCTTATTTTTAAATCCCTCCATTGCCTTACCCCTTCTTATCCCACACACTCCGAGCTATCAGTGATCTTCTAGTTCCCAATTATAATCAGTCCCCACAGGTAGTAGTGTCTTCTAGGGCCTTGGTCCCAAGCTCTGGAATTCCATCCGTCCTCTTTTCTGCCTGTCCTTGTGCTCCTATAAAGGATATCTTTTTGACCACGTTTTTGTGGTAAGCATGTTGCTTAATTTAGTCCAAGTTTCGCATACATAATTCTCTCAAATACATTGCCTGACTTTGTAGTAATCAGCTGGTTACCTGTATTAAGTACTCAAACTGGTAGATGCAGAGCCCCAGCTCTGCCATACTGGGCTTGAAGAGCTCCCTCAATCGATATTCTTGCATCAAACGCACGAACACACAAAAGGCTTCTTCTTCCGGCATCTATAAAAACAAAGTGAAATTTGCTGCAAGCAAGGCACTCTGAAAATGTGCAAATGTTCTGATGCAAATCAGACCCAACAAGGCACTAAAACCATTGAGTAAACAGCATGCATTATCGAGAAAGATTGATTGTCAAAGTAGAGGAGATGCAAAACAACAATTTTGGAAGAACTGGGGGATGAAGTAACAGTGAGAAGCAAATGTACATTTTAAACTTTTCCCCGAGGCTATTATGCTGGTATTTCAAAATTAGATTACTATGTCTACGAGACTGTTACGAGATTTAACAGAATGCACCCTGGAGCACCCACCAGGCTCTGAGAATGAGATCTAAAAAGACCAAAAAAGAAAATGGCCATTACATCTGACAAGAATATCAATAAATTAATAATTGGCTGTTCTCTACAGCGTTTCTTCTCTGAAAGTGCCGTGAGGACAGCATCTTTTACAGGATGCCGGCTGAATAACAATACCACAAAATTTAGTCTACCTGGAAACTAATATAAAAGCAAAACATTGCAGATGCTGGAGGTCAGAAAAATAACAAAGTTGTAGAGAAATTCAGCAGGTCAGGAACCACCCATGGAGTTAATACTTTGAGTCCAACATGGCTGTCCTTGGAAGTGAAATGTTAACTTTCTCTCTCACCCACAGATGCTGCCAGACCTGCGGAGCTTCTCTAGCACTTTGGTTGTTTGATCACAATGGTCTATTTGGATTACACAGACTGTCTACATCACTTTCAAACACAGTAACAGGGATGTATTCACTGGCATAATACTGCATATAGCAAGTTTCACCCATGTGGACTATAGCTGGTTTTTGTAGGGCAAATATTTGAAGTAAAACAATGAACTAGCAAAGCTGACATCTGAAACACCAGGGGAAAATATTACCAAGGCCTTACGTGAAGATTCACAGAAACATTATTTAAACACATCACGTTTAGCAAGAATTGTTGATCCTAGAGATCTCTGCATCATTAGAGAAATTATTCATACTCACCTGCATGAGGAGGAGCCCCACAATGAATGCACTTCCTTGGCAATATCCAACTTCACGGTCAACCAAAGAATATGCCTGTAACAAAGCAACTGGGTACAGTCTCAAACCTGGGAGAAACTTCAGATACTTATTCTACATAGTGACTCAGCAGACTTAAGCAGATATTGCTGCTTAATAATAACGGGCGTATTGAAGACTGTGCCCTCTCTGTCAAACCAACATGGTCTCTACAACCAAAGTTTTGTTCAGTTATTAGCGCTACCTGTGCACGCGAATGAGAATGCACCATGTTGTAAACCAAAACAGCAGCCTTGAGATTTCACTTTACAGGTTATGACTATGTAATTCTCCAATGGGTTGTTACATGATAATCATGGATGTGATTAGCATCTGCAAACTTACAATAAAAACATGCTGAGTCAAACACCCAACCCAGTCTATTGTCACAGCAAGGAAATAGGTCAGATTTCTGTGTATATACACGAGAAACAATCTAGGGACAAATCGTCCCTTGATGTGCTTTGAATTCCTTGACTATTAGAAACTTGCTCTCTGTCTGGAATGCTGCTAAGTCCTGCAAGGATGAGTCCTATATACATCAGTACAACTTACTGCTCTCAAATCAAATTCACTGAACTCAACTTCTTTCAGTACGAAACTCACAATTTGATATTACTAAAGCAATTCATATCCAAGTATAAAAACACACAGGGAAATTATACCACAAACAGCTCAAGTTTAAAAACGAAAAATTGCTTCCTGTTTTGTAAATTAAATGTCTTTCCCAGTCATTTGTCTCATGTTCACTCCATGTGTGAATTTTGCCATATGCCATGCCACAGCACATAACATTCAGGAGTAGTACAAAAACAGTGCAGGAAATAGTCAGCACACAATGCTATATAGCCCACGAAGCAAACCTGTGAGCCTCATATGATACGTTACTATTTTATAGCAGCCTTTAGAGAGCCATGCCCCAAGATAGCAGACATTTTTTGCACAGGGTGGCAAGGAGGCATTGAAGGGCTGATTTGATGTGATTTATTGCTGTCACATATGCCAAGATAGTGAAAAAATGTTGTCTTAGTTGCTTTACAGGCAGATTGTTATGTCACCCTGACGCACTTATATAGTATCGAATGCAGGATACAATGTTACAGCTGTTGAGAAGGTGCAGAAAAAATTCAACATTAACATTAAAGAGGTCCATTAAAAAGCCTGATAAACAGCAGGGAAGAAGCTGCTCGCGAATCTGTGTGTGTACAGACTTTTATATCTTCTGCCTGATGGAAGAGGGTGGAACAGAGTATAACTGTGGTGGGACGGGTCTTGGATTATGTTGGTTGCTTTCTCAATGCAGCAGGAATTACAGATGGAGTCAATAGATGGGAGGCTGGTTTGCTTGATGGACTCGGCTATGTTCACAACTCTTTGTAGTTTCTTTCAGTCTTGGGGAGAGCAGTTCTCCTACCATGCAGGGATACATCCATCTACAAGAACTGCTAAGAGTCTTGATGGACATGCCAAATTTCCTTATCTCCTAAGTAGAGGCATTACTGTGCTTTCTTGACTGCAGTGTCAACGTGGGTGGATCCAGGACAGATTGTTGATGATAGTCATTCCTTGGAACTTGATGTCTCCCACCATCTCCACCGTCTGCACCACCTTTGCAGACAGGGGCATGCCCTCCACTCCCTGAAGTCAATGATCAGCTCCTTCATTTTGCTGATGTTGATGGAGAGATTGTTGCCTTTGCACCATGCCATTAAGCACTCAATTTCTTTCCTGTATTCTGTCTCGTTGACATGGTGGTGTCATCAGCAAACTTTTAAATGGAGTTGGTGTGGAATTTGGCCACATAGTCGAGCGTGCATAAAGGAGTATAGTAGGTGGCCGAGTGCTCAACTTACTGGGCATTGGTGTTGAAGATTATCGTGAGGTATTGTTGTTATCTATCCTTACTTACTGCAGTCTGTTGGTCAGGAAGTCAAGAATCCAGTTTCAGAGTGGGGAGCACAGACCTAGGTCCCTGAATTTGGAGAGGAGTTTGTTTCCAATTATGGTGTTGAAGGCAGAGCTGTAGTCAATAGGTTGGAGTCTGATATAGGTATCCTTGTCGTCCAGATGTTCCAGGGAGGACTGCAAGGCCAGGGAGACACGTTCCACCGGTAGGCGACTTGCAAGGGATCAAGGCAACCTGGATGGTGGAGTTGATGTGAGCCATGACTAACTTCTCAAAACACTCCATAATTATGGATGTCAGAGCCATTGAGGCATGCTGCATGATTTTTCTTTGGTACTGGGATGATGGTGGTCTTCTTGAAGCAGGTGGGGACTTCAGATCATAGCAAGGAAAAGTTAAAAAGATGTCTGCAAATACTTCTGCCAGCTGGGCCGCACAGGATCTGAGTGCATGGCTGGGGAATCCATCCGGGCCGATTGCTTTCTGTGGGTTCACCCTTAAGAAGGCCAATCTAATATCTGCAATGGTGACCGAGAGTACAGGTGTATCACAGGCTGATGGGATATGTGACATCATTTCACGGAGGTTGATTGAGCTCATCAGGTAGGGATCTACTGTTGCCCCCGATTCTGTTCGACGTCATTTGTAGCCCATTATGTCGTGTAAGCCTTGCCACAAATGACATATGTCAATGTGGTCAGTCTGAGTCTCCACAAAAATTGACAGAACTGCAGATGCTGCAAGTCAGAAACAAAAACAGAAGTTACCGGAAAAGCTCAGCAGGTCTGGCAGCATCTGTGAAGAGAAATCAGAAGGGTCATCTGACCCAAAACGTTAACTGATTTCTTTTCTCAGATGCTGCAAGACCTGCTGGGCTTCTCCAGCAACCTTTGTCTTTGTCTGGGTCCCAAGCTTAGTTTGACATCCCTGATGGCCTTGCGAAGGTCGTACCCAGATTTCCTGTATAGGTCATTGTCGCCCGACTTGAACGCTTCAGACCTGGACATCAGTAGGGAGAGAATCTCCTGCTTCATCCATGGTTTCCAGTTGAAGAATGTTCGGATTAACTTCTTTGGCATGCAGTCACTAATGATGTCTGTAACGGTAGTGGCATACTAGTTTAAGTTGGCTGCTGAGTTCTTGAATATGGACTAGTCCACCAACTGTAAGCAATCCACCAACTGTAAGCAGACCACCAGAAGACCTTCAGTTTCATCAGACCAACATTGCGCTACTTTCTGTACAGGGTTCTCATGCCTCAATTTCTGCTCGTGAGCTGGGAAGAGCAGCACAGCATTGTGGTCTGATTTTAATAATGACCTCTTGACTACTGCAAAGTGAAACGATGGATCCCAATTGTATGATGAGATCGAACTGAGGGATGTAATATCCTGTGGATTTCAGGTACCCAGAGATAATGCTAACCTGCCTGAATTAGGACTGATCGTTCTGCCCGTTTTTGTTCCAGTTCCACATCTCTTATGAGTTTTACTCAACAAGAATCTCAATTCTGACTGGGGCAGGGGATTGGGAGGGGTGAGGCGAGGGAGCAAAAAGTGAGGGCGAGATAAACTCCATGAAACAGGAAGAGGAGGAATGGGAAAGAAGAGAGGAGAGAATTCCAGATTTTCATTATTCCTTGCATAAAAGTGCATCCTGGTATCACCTCACCACCTCCTGGAACAAAAAACAAAAATGCTGGCAATCTGAAATAAAAACAGGACATGCTCACCAGGTCTGGCAGCATCTGTGGAGAGAGAAAGAGAGAGTTAATTTCGAGTGGATGGCCTTTCTGAATCACATTGTGGTGAAAGGTCAACCACCTAAATTGTTAACAGTTTCCATAGATTCTGCCTGACATCCTGCACTGTGTTTGCATTACTCCTGAATATTATATTGCTAGTCATCCATTTAATAAAGCCAGAGTCAGTGTGTGCGCCATAACTGTTTATTTGTACTTAATAGTACAATACAAACTCTAGTCAGCTCTCCTTTTCCGAGAAAACTTCTCTTACTGGCAAAAACCTGCCCTTAAACTTACGTTCCAATGGGCACTTGCTAATCTTGGTCTCTGGAGCATACCCTGGTTCATGTTTCAAGGGATCATCATTTACGCACTGCCATTGAATAGACTAACTCTAATAAGTTCTGCCCCTCATTTTCAACTCCACAGAGGAAATAGTTCCTCTTCATCCATTTCATCAACTCCTTCAATCACGATTAAAAACAATTTCAACCTTTATTTCATATTCAAGTGAATACAGGCATAGTCTTGCAATTTGTTCCCCTGTAGCACTTGTACAACTCTGCGGAATTTGCACTGCACCCTCTCCAAGGTCAATATATCTTTCAGGGGACAATACGCAGAACTGAATGCAGTATTGAAAATAGTTTACTTAGAGCTACATATTGTTGTAATGCAACTTCCAACACCTTGTGCTCAAGTCCTGAAATAAAGATGAACATTGTTTTAATTTTTAGTTACTACTTGCACTCTTAACAATTAATTTTTAGTGATTTCCCTTAGCTGTTCCACAATTCCTGCCTTAACACTATTTTTAGTGATTGACCCTCTTTCAGGTCCAAAGTCGATGACTTCTCAATGCCACTCACACCGAACTCCATCTGCCCACACAGATTTTCCCACTTCCTTAATCTGTCAGTGTTTCTTTGCACCTTTGTGTTCATATTAATTTGAAGAAAATCTAGGAAGTGGTCTAATTCACACGCTCTATGACCAATACGTATTACAATCAAAGATCAGAGTTAAAAATATTACAGTGTAGTCTCACTCAACAACAGACTGGAGAACAGATATAGCAGCCACCTGTGCCAGAGACAGGAAGGGATGAACAAAGTGGACGATGGACACAAGACCCAAAGTAAAAGGAACATACCATCTTTTGACAGATGCTAAAGTTGGAGGAGGAAAGAGATAGAGAAAAGTGAGGTCACTGAACATAGGTGAGAATTTGAAACTTGAGACACTCCTGGAGCAAGTCAATTGAAGTCCGTAAGAATTGAAATGAAACTTGATGTGGATTTAGACATGGGCAGAGCATCAGATCAGTTCAGGTTTATGGAATATGAAAGGTAGGATACTGGCCAGAAGGGATTTGGAACAATCTAGACTGGAGGTAACAAATCTTCAGCAAGGGAAAGAGGAGAAAATTTTAAAGAAATAAATCAAATTGAGTTGGAGTTAAGCCCCATCTCTCACCTTCATCACATTAAACAGCACCTCTTGTCCAAGACTGTCCTGTCCTTTAAAGAAGTCGTGCTCTGGGTAAGTACGTGCAATATCTCTTCGGATCAACTTCTCACAGGGAGAGGTCATCTTTAGCAATTCTGAATACTGATTTTTCACTGGCATGTCAGTCGCATTGCAGAGCAATTGCCAGACAATCCCCCGGAAATGATGTGGAATTCCTTTTCGTATGAGTTCCTGAAAAGAAATGAGATTTTTTCATCCTCTTATCCAATCTTTTCTTCTGCTATCTGAAAAGGCAACTTGCGCTGGGCTAATGTTTCATGTGCAGTGAAAGCCTTGTAGTTACTGGCCCAGGTAGTTCATTCAGAAACCAAAATAACATCACAGTTGAAAACATAAGAACCAGGAGCAGAAGTGGGCAACTCAGCCCTGGAGCCTGCTCTGCTCTTGAATATGATTACAGCTGATCTCATTTTTGGCTTTGACTCCACTTTCCTGCCTGCTCTGCATAACCCTTCAGCCCACTGCTAATTAAAAATCTGTCTACCATTTCCTTAAATTTATTCAATGGCCTATGACAATGCACAATAGATGCACAACGTGGGTAGTTAATTCTGCTGATTTGTGACCCTTCAAGAGAAGCAATTTTTTCTCACGTGTTTTCAATTTGCTACTACTTGTCCTAAAACTATGACCTCTGTTTTAGATTGCCCTTCAAGAGGAAACATCCTCCATGTCCACATTGTCAATCATCTTGTGTATCTCAATTAGATCACCTCTCATTCTGTATAGGCCTCAATCTCTCTTCATAAGACAAGCCCCTCATATCTGGAATCAATCTAGTGAATCTTCTCTGAACTGCCTCCAATGCAACTACATCCCTCATCAAATAAGAGGGCCAAAATTCTACACAATACTCCAGGTGCAGTCTCACTAATGCCTTGTACAGTTGCAGCAACACTTCCCTACTTGTATACTCTATTCCTTTTAGCAAAAAAAGGCCAATATGTTGCTAAGATTTGATGTGGAGGTGCCAGTGTTGGACTGGGGTGGACAAGGTCAGAAATCACACAACACCAGGTTATAGTCCAACAGGTTTATCTGAAAACACAAGCTTTCAGAGCGTAGCCCCTTTGTCAGGTGAAGTGAAAAAGAAAAACACAGAATTTATAAGTAAAAGATCAAAGGGTTACACAAACGATGAGGATGTATTAAACAAACCTAAGATGCTGTAAAATCTTTAATCAGTTACAAGGTTTTAATTGATTAACATGTATGTGTAAATCCCTGAATTATTTTCAAGTCACTGCCCTGAGAGAACTAAAAGGTTTTATCTGTGTAAAGAAGAGGTGACATTATAGGTCAGACAATGCACGTCAGATGTGAGGCACTGTGTGTTTTGGCTTGGAGTCAGACCGGTTCTCTTTCTAAAGCAGGAATGTGTAAATCAGGAACAAATACAGAAGTTGCTAGAAAAGCTCAGCATCTATGAAGAATACAAAGAAGTCTTTCTTTCCAATTTCTAAAAGGTGTGTTTTGGGATTGTACTTTAACAGTGTGTTTAAAAATTTTGTGGTTTTAAGTCAATAGCTTGGTTTAATCTATTTTATTTTCATTTCATTCAATAATAAAGTTATTTTATTGTTAAAACAATATCTATAATATTTTGTGCTTATGTTTCAATGAGGGAACACTTAGCTAAAACCAAAACAAATCAAAATATGATCTATCAAGCTAGTTGTCAGTCTGGAATCCGACTTACCCAGTGATAACATCAGCTGGGATTAGAACATGAACTGTTTCATGCAATGATAAGAAATAGACTGAAGTTTTTACTTTGTAATTTCTTGAAATTTCACAAAATTATCAATAGCAACAGGATTGGGAGCAGCGCTGAGCTGGAATCAGGCCTAAAGCACAATAGGAGGAATTTTAAAGTATCATTGGCAGGCTCTTTAGGATGAAAGAAAAACCAAATGCGATAAAGCCATAAACATGAACTATAAATACTTGGAATATAGTACAAGCCAATTAGCTTTGGAAAGAGGACAAGTTAATTTCTTGATAGGGTCCAAAAAGGAAATGAAAGATTATAAAGGGGTATTGTGCAGAAATGTAGAGTTGCAGTTAAAAATCAGATCAGCCATGATCTTATTGAAGGGTGGAGCAGGATTGAAGGGCTGAGCGGCACACGCTTGTTCATTGTTCGTATGCTCAAAGCTTTTTCTTTGTTCATTCATGGGATATGAGTGCTAGCATTTATTGTCCATCCAGTTTGGCTTCAAGGTGGTTCTAGTGAATTGCTTGCTTGAAGTGCTGAAGCCTATATGCTGCAAATGTACCAACAGTGCTATTAGGGAGGGAGTTCCAGGAATTTGACCCAGCAATAGTGAAAGAACAGCAAATATCCAAGTCATGGCTGTGTGGCTCGGATGGACATTTGCAGCAGACAGTGTTCCCTGGCTGCTCTTGGTGATAGAGGTTGAAAGTTTCTAAGGTGTTTGTTGGAACGAATCTTGCTGAGCTCTTGCAGTGCATCTTGTAGACAGCACACACTGCTGTCACTTTGCAACAGTGGTCAAGAGTGAATGTTGAAGGTGGTTGATGGGGTACTGATCAATCGGGGTTGCTTTATACTGGATAATAGCGAGCTTTGAACATCAAGCAATGTCTCTTGTTTTAGCTGATTGGCATTTGGTTCACCAGATTGGCTATGCAAGATTTGAGGCCATCTGTCAACCTCCCTGCGTCACTCACCCTTAGCAGTTTCTCTTTCTTTTTGCGCACTTCTTCCCATTCATTGATCAGCCGGCCCCACAGGATCCACGTGTCTTCCTCCAAGTGGCTCAAGTTGCTCGAAGCCGAGGAGCTTGACACAAGTGAGCCACTGCTGTTCCGCCGCGATCCATTCACAGATCGTAATGACTTACTGTCAGCCTCTAGCAACCTAGGGGAAGTTAGGAGACATTTGCAGTAGAAATCTGGACTTTTGATGGGAAAAAACAGTTTTGTAAAATATAGAGAACATCAGCGATTACCTCACTATAGAAATAGGCACACACAGTCTCAGTGGTCACTTTTTCAATAGGAGTGTTGTAGCTCACTAACAGCAATTAAGGAAATCACAATAATGTGTGACAAATATTTAGACCTACCTACATACCCACTCAAGCATACCCCAGACAAAATCTTTGCACGACTTCAGTCAATCCCAGTTTCAGCTATTTCAATCTTCATGGCTCACCACAATGATGCTTCAGATCGGTTTTGCATTATATTATTAGACCCAAGCTGTAGAAACAGGTCAACACTGTCTCACCTATCAGAACAGAAATTGTCTGGTTGTATTTCACATTGAAGCAGTACTGGAGTTTTGTCACTAGAGGTCCCTGGCCGTCAGGAAAGATGGGCACTGTCAGGCTGATGGGAAAGACTGTGTTTGCTGCTACAATTAGAGGGTTGCATGCACCATCCATGCAGCTGCAATGCCGGTGACATCGTAGTGAGGTGCCTACATCAAAGCAGAAGGGCGATAACATCAGTGTTTTCCTAATATTTTAAATTAATTCGGATCCTGGACTTCACGATTTTCTCACTTTCCCACTGCTGTGCTGCTTCACTGCTTACTATGTCCAAGAATGAAGGAGCGAGGAACTGAATGGGAGGGAGGCAGCGGCTGCAGTGTGAGAGCAGAGACAATGCACAAAGGCAGGGTGCTGAGTGGCATGAGAATAGTGAGAATTTCTTAAATGCCAGCAGCACTGGCTCCAGAAGCACTTCAATGAATTTAGTGGTGCTAAAACATTCACCAAAAGTAACATATTTTGGAAGGAAAAATGAGAAGACAATATAAACTAAATGGTAAAGGGTTCTTGTGAGCTTGCGACACAGTTGTTTCTGAGCCAGGAGGTCTGGGCTCATGAAAAGGTTAGGGGCGGGTAGAAAATAGGAAACTATAGACCAATTATTTTATTATTTGTCAAATAGGAAAATGGTTAGGATTAATTACAGGCCACCCCCCAACGGGTTCTGGCCTGGAGTCCGTTTGCAAGTCCATTTGTTCCTATGCTTGGTCTATAAAATTGCATTAAGCGAAGTGCCTCCACCTCTGGGATTGCATTCATAAATACGCATGTTTGTAAGTCAAACCTTCGTAAATTGGGGACTCGCCCCCGTGTTAAGGCAATAGTAACAGGACAGTTAAAATACAATCGATCACAGTCAGCATGGTTTTATGAAAGGTAAATCATGTTTGACTAATTTGCTAGAGTACTTCCAAGACCTAACAAGCAAACTGGATAATGGGGATCCTGTAGATATAGTATATCTGGACTTTGCTTGTTAAGGTGGTTAATAAAAAGTTAATACACAAGATAAGAACACATGGGGTTGGGGTAATATTTTAGGTTGGATGCAGGATTGGCTAACCAACAAAAAGCCGAGACTTGGGATAAATGAGTCTTTTCCTGGTAGGCAAACTGTAACTAGAGGAGTGCCATGGAGTTTGGTCCTCAGGGCCTACCATTTACAAACTATATTAATGACTTGAAAGCAGGTATAGAATGTACTGTAGCCAAATTTGGACAGCTGACACTAAAATAGGTAGGAAAGCAAACTGCAATGAAAAAATAAATTTACAAATGGATATAGACAGGTTAGATGAATGGGTCAAAATTTGGGAGATTGAGCTTAATATGGATGTGTTTGAGGTTATCCATTTTGGTCAGAGGAAGAAAATGGTAATATCATCTAAATGGAGACAGACTTCAAAAGTCAATATTTTGTACTGACTGTTCATCTATCAATTGTGAAACAATGAGCAACATGGACAGCCAGTCACACCCAAAACATGGCATACATTGTACTGTTACATTTGTATAGTACATCTCAGAAACACATAAGACCATACATAAAACTAAGAAACAGCAGTATGCAGTCAACCCCACAAGCCTACTTTGCCATTCAATGAGATCATGTTAACCTTCTAATCGAAGACCACCTTTCTGCACTATCCCCATATCACCTAATGTTTTCCATATGTAGAAACCAACAATCTCACTCTTGAACATACTCAATGACTGAGCCTCCACAACTTTGGGTGTAGAGAATTGCACCGTGTGGATGAGGAAATTCTTCATCAGTCCCAAAAAGCTGCCTAATTATTCCAATGCTTTGCCTTGGTGCTGGACCCCCTGGCCTGGAGAATCATCCATCCTGCATCCACTCAGTCATTCCCTCTAAGGATTTTGTAGGCTTCTATTAAACTGTCTCATTCTTCTAAACTCCTCAGAATACAGGCCTCGTTTCCTCAACCCTCTTTAGAGCACTGTCCCACCATCCCAGGAATCAGACTGATGAACCTCTGCACCACCCACTCTATGAATAGCATAGCATTCCAAAAAACAAGGGGTGCACAATACTCCAGATTTAGTCTCACCAGTGTTCTATGCTATGCTTCAATTGTATCTTTGTTCCTGCACTTAAATCCTTAGAAAAGTCAACATCTCATTTGTTACTTGAATTACTTGCACACTGACATTGAGCGATTTATGAATAAGAACACCTAGGGTCTCTCTGGACATGAACATAGTCCAATCACTCACTATTTAAAAAACACTTTACACCTTTGTTTCTCCAAAGTGGAAAAACTCTTACATATTTCAGATTGTCTAAACACTCTTTAAGCCTCTTTATATCATTGCAGCATAGAAAATAGGAAGAATAGGCCATTTTGGCCTTTGTTATGGATAAAGAGAAAGAAGGTCTGCAAAAAAAAAAAAGGATTCTGGACTGGGGAAAGGCAGATTTCATTAAAATAAGGCCAAAATAGACTGGAAACAGCCACTTGGAGGGTAAACACCGTCGACCAGTGGGAGTCAAAATATCTGGAGACTGTACAATGGGTGGTTAGAGCCTGGAGCCTCACCTGTTTCATGGGCTAAGGATTGGGACAAAGCCTCTGCTGCTTTCTGGGGTCTAATGACTGGGTGCATATGCCTGAAGGCCTGGAGTCCGGGTTGGGGGGTTGCTGTTGGGGAGTTGGAGTTTAAAGGAGGAGATCTGTGGGTACAGTTACAACTTTTGAAAGACATTTAGATACGTACATGAATAAGAAATGTTTTGAGGGATATGGGCCAAGCTCAGGCAATCCCAAACTAAACTAGTTTCACCTATGGTTGGCATGGACTGTTTTTTATTTGATTTGATTTATTATTGTCATCTAGGTACAGTGAAATGTTTTGTTTGTGTGCAGTACAGGCAGATCATACCCTACAAAGTGCATAAGGGTAACTGAACAGAACACGGAATTCAATTCAATGAGGACATCAGATTGTAGTCATGAGAAGTTAAAAGATATCAACGAATACCCTTGCCAGCTGGTATGCTTAGGATCAGAATGAATGGCTGGGGACTCCATCTGGGCTGGTCGCTTTCTGTAGGTTTATCTCAAAAAGGCTCACTCAACTGAGTATTTTACAGCACGGAACCAACTTTTCTTGTAGAAATACAGAGGAAGAGGTTTTGAATGAACTGCTTTTATTTTTAAAGTGTTTGAAATAAAGTATCTATTTCTGACCGAACATCATCAAAATTCTTTATTTTTCTGAGATGTGGGCAGTAAGGCTGATATTTATTGCCCATTGAACTGATTGAACTCATGAGGCCAACGTCAGTTGAGAGTTTACTGTGGGTCTGGAGTCCCATGTAGGCCACACTAGTAAGTATAACTGGTTCTATTCCTATTTTTATAGGAATTGACATAGTTGCAATTAAACCAGAGTGATAGTCATACAGCACGGAAACAGACAGGTCAGATGACCCTGACCTTTTACCGGAAATCCAGATACCACCTCCGTAAGGTCATTAGAGACGCCAGGAGGTAATGCTGGACTATGCTAGGCACACAGCAAGAATTAAAGACATTTGGTCATCAAATGTGAGGATGTCACTGCATACCTCTCTTACCATCAATTCTCCATCCATCTCCCAAAACTACCACCTTATGTGCAGCCTCCAATCGAAATATTCATTAACATTAACCAACCGCACATACATTTGACCACTGCAAGCACACTTCAATCGCTTCCCTCATTTTTCTCACCTATATTTTCTATGCTTGAACTGAAAAATGCTGCACCTATCAAATAGTCTGACCACACTTTCAGTTCTTCGCTATCATGCAGGTTATTGACATGAGCCAGTTCTCTTCTGAACCAGCACTGGGTGCCTCCTTTCAGGACTTTAAATTATTTTCCATAACAATGTCAGACTTTCACAATTATATTTTTGCTTTCCATCTTAAAGTCCCTGATGTTTTATTATTGGAAAGCAACTCTGTTTCAAATTGATGAAAATTTATTCATTCATTCTCCTTAGTGAACCATAACATAAATCACAGAATGAGACCTCATGACCAGATAGAAGTGGCCATGACGTCATGGGGCAGTCACCCTTACTGGTATGTTCACCTTTAAGGAAACACACCAAAAATTATGAACAACACAAACACTTTGCATTTTATTCCACACCCAATCTAGTAACATTGACCACAAGAAAGTGCAAAGTACCTACTATGGCTGGGAAATGAATCCCCAGATATAGGCCTCTATTGAAGCAATCAGACTGCCCTTTATTCCATGCTTTACAATCAACAGTTTGACAAGAAATGAAGACTCAAGCCACATACTTCACCAAATAGTTAGCATAGCTAGGTCAGGTAACAGCTCTGATTAAATTACAGCATTAAGTGGACCCATACTACAATGTCACCATCTTGTGTGCTGCTACTGACACTCCTCACCTGTTTTGCTCCTCTAACTTTGCTAGAAGTTCCAGCTCATCTGGACTGAGGTTATCAGAAGAGGAAGAGTCAGGACTGATCGCAGGACTCGCCATGGGAACAAGGCTTTGCAGCGTTAGGGTCTTCATCCATCAGAAGGTGATGCACTGTACAGCAGCAAAATTTATATTATCTAAGAGAGAGGAAGAAGAGAGAGCTGAACGTTAACAATTATATTTAATCTGCAACAAAAACAGAAGTTGCTGGAAAAGCTCTGCAGGTTTGGCAACATCTACGAACAGAAATCAGAGTCAATGTTCCAGGTCCAGTGAGTTCTGCAGAAGGGTCACCAGGCCCGAAACATTAACTCGGATTTCTCTTCACAGATGCTGCCAGACCTGCTGAGCTTTTCCAGCAACTTCTGTTTTTGTATCCGATTTACAGCATCAGCAGTTCTTTCAGTTTTTATTTAATCCACAGTTTCACAAGGATCAAGCAGTTTACACCAAAGCAAAAGAGATGTACACCATTCCAAAATTAGTTTAATTATTAGATTTCTTGAATAGACTAGACAAGACAAGTACGTTACTTCGTAATGTGTTGCACAACCTTATCCTCAGAACGACATTCATTGAAAGCAATTAAAGTATATTTAATGCTGCAATGCACAAAAAGATAATGAAGTTGTCCATGTCCATACAAAGCAAGACCTGGACAACATCCAATTTTATTTAGGCTGAAAAAGTGATAAGTAACATTTGTGCTACCCTTGTGCCAGGCAATCACCATTTCCAAGAAGGAATCTAACTATCTCTCCTTCACCTAATCACCCACTATCAACTTCCCTGAAGGTTACCATTGGCCAGCCAAATAAATATTGAAGCTACAACAGCAAGTCAGAGGCCAGGAATTCTGAAGGGAGCAATATATCTTCTAACTTGTGCCTTGTGGATGATGGGTGGCAGGAGTGTGGTGGAATACTCTGCACTTGTTTGAATGGGTGCAGCTTTAACACTTGACACCATTCAGAAGCCCTGTTAATTGGCAACGCTTCCACCACCTTCAATGTACACTGCACATCAGTGGCAGTAGTGTGCACCATCCATAAGTTGCACTTGAGTAACTCAAGACTCCATCACCATTACATTTCAAATCTACAACCTTTACCACCTGGAAGGACAAGGGCAGCAGAGGCAAGGGAACACCAGCATCTGCAGTTTCCCCTCCAGATGACTCACCACCATGATCTGGAATTATATTCCTTCACTGTCACTGGGCCAAAGTCCTGAAACTTCCTCCGTAACAGCACTGTGGATGTTCTTACACCTTAAGGACTGCAGTGGTTTGAGAACTTCACAACCACCTTCTACAGGGCAATTAGGGAAGGGCAACAAATACTGGCCTAGTCAGTGATGCCCACATCCCATCAACAAAAAAGAAAAACAGCAGCTTAATTTGTGCATAGCAATATGATTATCAGAAACTGCGAGGCATTGACTGAAGGATAAATATTAACCAGGTCATCAGGGAGATCAGCCTCGCATTTGCTTTGAAATAGCGTCATAGGACTTTTATGACATTGTACCTTACCAGGTTTGAGCCAACCTCCTCATTGGCAGGAGTGAGACAGAGGAACATATACAACCCTTCTGACAGGGGCAGGGTGGAGGGGTACACATTATTAGGCTTTGGAATACTGTTAGGAAGGTGAAAACAGACTCGATGGTAGCTTTCACAGAAACTTTGATAAACACGTAAAAGAGAATGTGCAGTCATGTGCAAAAAAAGCAGCGAGTAGTGCTAATCAAATTAGTGCTGGGAAGTGCCAGCACAGAGCTGCTGCATTGATTGGGCAAAGAGTGGGTAATAAAACCTCAATTGATCTTTCTTAAAGATTTAAGCGTGAGTGCGATCTCCTGAAGAGGTTTTATTACCCAATCTTTGTCCATCTCTGCCAAAACTACAAGTCAGCAGGGTAGAACCTCCATCAGCCGAGCACCGCATTGTCAGCCTAGATGAATGTCTTGCACAGGCTACATTCTGTCCGCAAAAAAGACCCTGAACTTCCAGTCACTTGCCACTTCAATACACCACCCTGTTCCCTGGCCAGCATTTGCCTCAGGCTTGTTGCAGTGCTCCAGCGAAGCTCAGTGCAAGTTGGGAGAACAGCACCTCATTTTCTGCTTCGAAATCCTGCAGCCTTCTGGATTGTATAGAGTTCAACATCTTTAGGGCATAAGCTCTCCCATGTCCTCCTAGCTGTCCACTCCTTTGACACCTGTTCTCCTGTCTCTTGGGCTCTATCCCCACCTATAATTTACTCCTTACCCCCTCCTCCATCCTATCTTTTGCATATAAACCGACATTTCCCCAACTACCATCATTTCTGAAGAAGGGTCCAGACCCGAAACATCAGCTTTCCTGCTCCTCTGATGCTGCTTGGCCTGCTGTGTTCATCCAGCTCTACACCTTGTTATCTCACTTAAAGAGTGATTTGAATTTCAAGCTCTCAGGCCTCAGGAAACCCAGCAAGAAAAAGGGAGTGAGAAGGTTGGAATCCAGAAAGTATGTGCCTATATTGCATTGCTAGTGGACAGAACAGGAGTTACCTCCAGACCCAACAATTAAATTTAAACTCTAACCTTCCCTCATTCTAATTCAACAATCTCTACATCCCAATCGCAGTTAACTCCCTCAGTACTAACACCTACACATTTACTAGGTTCTTAGAACCACTCTTTCGCCCTGCACCTGAAAAAACCTGCAATCAATCCATCCTATGCCACGTAACTCTACCACATGGTCTTTTCCCTGCCCATCCAAGCACCCACACACCCACCATGGAGTCTTCTCACAGAAGAAAAATTGAGCCTGGGCTGCAGGTGTTTTATAGTTCTCCACCCAAGAGACAGCCAAGTTAGTCAATCCGACTACTCCTTTGTCAGGAAACTACTTTATTTTTGCATTTAGGAAGGCAAGATTTCTTGGCTTTACACGACAACCTCTCTCCAACAGGGCAGTCAAATCAAGGCCCAAGATGCCTGCTCTAGCCATTCATGTTAAAGATTCCATGCCAACAATGAAGAACAGGGTACTACTGAGAAAACAAACCCAAAAGAACTGCGAATGCTGGAAATCAGAAACAAAAACCAATTGCTGATAAAGCTCAGCATATCTAGCAGCATTTGTGCAGAGAAATCAGAGTTAACGTTTTGGATCCAGTTCTGAGGAAGGGTCACTGGATCCAAAATGCTGACTGATTTCTCTCCACAGATGCTACCAGACCTGAGTTTTTCCAGCAATTTCTGTTTTTTAAACTACTCGATATCCTGACTAACAAGCTGCCTTAATCGGCACCATTAAAATAGAATCATTAATTTCAAAAAGGAGAACTGAGCATACACTGCTTTGAAACAATGGATGAAACACTGTTTTAAACTATAATGATGAGATACACAAGGTCTAATCCTCAGGCAGTCTCCAAGTCATTTTTAGACAAAAAGAAGTTGTTCTGATTAAGTCCAGGGCACAATGAACAACAACTTGCATTCATATAGTACATTTAACAGAGTAAAATGTTGCAAGGACTTTCTAAGTTGTGTTCATAAATTTACAGAATAAAATGAGGAGTTATCAGGGTCCGCTCAAAAGCTTGGTCAGAGAGATTCAAGGAGTGTATTGAAGGAGGAGAATGCCCATGGCTGACAGCGCAGCAGGGGAATTCTAGGGCCTAGTAAAGTACGTCTGATAACAGTGCAACAATTAGAAAAGTCAGGGATGTGCAAAAGTGTTTAGAAATGGACAAGCATAGAAATTTGAGGTTGGAGGTACATAGAGACAACATCATTGTTTAAAATTCTCCTGTGTTTTGGAATTTAACAATGATAACACTCCCAAATGGCAGCCAGTGTAATTCCATGAGCATAGAGACAGGCAAACAGGACTTGGGGCGAGTCAGGAAATGGATTTGGACAAGTTTTAACCTGCAGGGAATGAAAAATGAGAGGCTGAGCAGGAGGGCACTGGAATCATCAAACCCAAGGTATCAAAGTCAAGAATGAAAAAGCAGCCAATGGGCTGAAGCAGAACTTTGCTTTTTCAGTTGGGATTCAACTTCTGCTCAACCCGAGCAGGGTATTAGCTAAGCAGTGTGACCAGCCAGGGATGGCAGCAGAACTGAGAGCCGGTGAGGTACACCATTGACATGCAAACCTGATATTGTGTTTTCAGCTGCTGTTAGCAAGGAGCATTTTAGATACCTTTGCACTAACCTAGCAATGATTCTGCGCTCTACTATCTTTTAATGAAAGGTGAGCAGACATTTAAAACAATCTAAGCTCTGTGAGGAGATTCACTAGCTTTGTTGAGGTGATTTTTAAAATAAAAATGCCAAGATCCATCAATATTTAAACCTCTCCAGTGATTTAAAATAAGGAATAAATTATATTCCCAGACAAAGGCAAATCAATAAGCTCGCTGTAGACACACTGAAACCAAGAAAACAACTGAACGATGGAATTAAACTCTCAACTATGGCTTGAGGCAAAACCCCTTGTAAGATACACTTGAGCTAGCTCACTATTGATTTTCGCCCTTGAGGAAAGCATATGACCGAGTTAAAAAGAGAAAGCAGACTCCTCTAGTAAAGTCAGCAATTGATGTGCTAACCTACTTTCCACTGCATTCTATACTGTTCATTTTATTCCCCAAGTCAGCTTTGCACAACAATGGTTACCCTGTGCAATGATTTGGGCAATTTAGAGTCATAGACTAATACAGCATGGAAACAGGCCCTTCAACCCAAACTGGTCCATGCTGATCATGATGTCCACTCAGCCAGTTCCAAGTGACTGCATTTGGTACATATCCCTCTAACCCCTTCTCATCCATGTACCTATCCAAATGTTTTTGGAATGTTGCTATTGTACCTGCCTTAACCACTTTCTCTGGCAGCCCATTCCATATACGCAGTACTCTCTGCATGAAGAATTTGCCCCTCAGGTCCTTCTAAAAACTTTCCCCTCTCACCTTAAACCTATGCCCTTTAGTTTTCAATTCCCCATCCCTGGGAAAAAGCTACTTGCATAATTATAATGCATGTTAGGTTCCTCACTGGTATAGTCACCACTTCTCACACAGGAAATCTGGATTTGTTTCCATGATTGCAAGGGTTACTTCCTGAAGTAGTATTCA